CCGGTCGCCGCCCGTCGTCTGGCCCTGCATGTCGGTCTCGCGGTTCCATGCTCGCCGTCGCTGCCCCGTCGCGGCCCCGTCGCCGCCTAGATTGTACAACGTATACCGCACCACATAAACTGCCCAGCATAAACAGCACCACGTACATTGCGCCACATAGGTTGCACCACGACGATTGCACAGCATAGATCGCACCACATAGATTGCACAATACCACGTCGATAGAACCACATATACTGCACAACATCGGCTGTCCAACAGCGATTGCACTACACAGATTGCTCCACGTCGATTCTCCGTGGCAAAGAAATTAGGATCTCCCCCCCGGGGTTAACGGGGCTTTTTGTTTCGCATTACAATTTAATTCTGACTCTGCCCCATCGTCCATCCTGAATGCTATGCGCGCGCACTCGTTTATTCAAAGTCAGCAGTTGTCAAAAATCCCCTGCAAACAACTACGCGAACTGCACACGCGCGCGTCGTCGCGCGCATGCCAGAATGTCAAAAACTCTAGGTTGCGTCACGATTTCAAAAACAAGTGTCCCGAACACATATGAACAGGTTGTTTCGCAACAAAGGTTTTCACAAAAGTCTGCGCCCGCACTCTGGCGAAATTTCAAGAGGGCCATATGTTTACAGCATGTGTTCATAACATTCAACCAACAAAGCCTCTCGCGCGCGCGTCGAAATAGCTCGAACGCCCGTGCGCGCGCGCTGTCGCAAGAACCCCTTGCAAAACAAGGTGCGGCGTGCACACGCGCGCCTCGTAGCGCGCGCATTCCGGAATCTTTCAAAAGCCTGGAAAGTTTCACAAAGATTGAAAACAACGAATGTCCAAGAAACATATAAAACACATGGTGCTGCAACATCACTCTTCAAAAATATATGCGAACGCGGTCTTGTGGTTCTTCAAATGCTTTCCGGATTCTGCCAAACGGGCCTCTCGCGCCGCAGGTCGAATCCATTCAAACGCCCTTGCGCGCGTGCTGGAAAACGTCAAACGCATATTGGGCCATTCGCGCGCGGCCGCGCGCGCATGTCGAAATCTTTCACAAACTTTCATCGCCGACGCAGGGGCATCTTCATCGTAATCGGTGGGCGTGATCAACATCGGCGCCGTCATTGGCCTTGTCGTTGTCATCGCCACCATCGTCACCATTATCGTTACTCCTCGGCGTCGCCATGATATCGCGCCTGCCCATGTCACCGACCCGCCCGGAAGTGCCCGCTGGGAAGTGCCCTGCGGTCAGCGCCACCGCGGCCGCGTCGGTCGCTAGCTGGCCGCTGTGCGCGCGAACCTGCGCGCGCTAGCGCGGCCGCAGAGATGCACCAGCCAACGCCAAGCACTCATCGCAATCGCCGCCGCATGGGTTTTGCAGACCAAACTGCGGGTGGGTGGGTGGGATGTTTCCACGAGCATGGAATATGTCAGCTCGTTTGCAAAAACCCATGCACCACATACATTGCACCTCGCAATTTGCACCACGTCGATTGCGCGACATAGTGGACCACAGAAGCTGCACATCAAAACTTGCATCACAAAGATTGCACCACAAAAATGGACGATAGAAATTGCACCACATAGACTGCACAGCATATATTGCACCACCGCAAAATTGGCACCACGTCGATTGCACTGCATAAATCGCCCCAGCGGTCAGCGGTCACCGCTACCGCGGCCGCGCGGGTCGCGCCAGACCAGCTGCCCGCTCTGCGGGCGAACCTGCGCGCGCTAGCGCGGCCGCAGCAATGCGCCAGCCAACGCCAAGTAGTCATCGCAATCGCCAGCCAGAGTGCGGGTGGGTGGGCGGGACGATTGCGCGAGCAAGGGTGTTGTCAACTTCATTTTCGGCGACGTGAACTCACCGCGTACATTGCACCACATTTGTTGCACAACCCCAATCTCACAACATGTATTGTACCACGTATCTTCCACCACATAATTTCGGATAGTGCACAACATAGACAGCACAACATAGATTGCACCACATCCGTCGCACCACGTGGATTCCCCTGTCCCAGAAATATATACTTTATCCCCTTTGGAATAATCCCCCCTGGGACGATGAAAATTGCTTATGGTCCACCCCGTTGCTCACTTAAAATATGAAACTATCTCGGCCCAAACCAACCTGCATCGCCACCCTTCATCCCTGCCAGGTCATACTATGCGCGCGCTCGCTATCAAAAGCAAAAACTGCCCCAAATCCCTTGCAACAGAACTTGGCAAAGTCGACACGCGCGCGTCGTCGCACGCGCAGTCTGGAATCCTTCCAAACCTATCGGTTTCGTAAAAAAATTCACGATCAATTTTCGCGACAACCAGTTTTCCCAAAAGTACGTGCGTTTTGCGAAGTCTTCAAAAACTCATCGGTTTCCAACATCTTCATCACATACGACCAGACAGGCCTCTCGCGCGCACATGTTGAAATCATTCGAACCCCTTGCGCTCTTGCTGGGGGGGCATGATCCCTGTCAAATAATACCATCACCCCCGGCAAATGCATCGCGGGACCCCGGTTTCGGGAGGCACGAACAACAAAACTAACTCGCGAAATACTCGACCCCCCCCCAGCCGTGACGATGAAAAATCTGGCCGAGACTAAGTCCTCTCCCCCGGAGCAATAGATAACGACTGCGACGGCGCCGCGCGAGGGGGGGGTCCCAGGAGCAAAAACAACCAACCTTCAAACACTACACCCACATCACCAGCAAATGGAAACTGTGTACCGTGTACTGTGTACTAAGCACTACCGCATATATTAAAACAGTAACGCAGTAGTGATATGTGCAAGCTCACTGCTCCGTAATAGTAACTCTCTAATAATTCTGACTGTAGTGGCAATACTCTAGTATGCTAGGTGCTTCAGATCTGTAGTAGTAGTAGTAGTAATAGAATTAGTAGTAGTGGTAGTAGTAGTCGTCGTCGTCGTCGTAGTAGTCGTAGTAGTAGTACGAGAAGTAGTAGTAGTAGTAGTAGTAGTAGTAGTAGTAGTAGTCGTAGTAGTAGTAGTAGTAGTAGTAGTAGTAGTAGTAGTAGTAGTCGTAGTAGTAGTAGTAGTAGTTAGTAAGTAGTAGTAGTAGTCGTAGTCGTAGTAGTAGTAGTAGTAGTAGTAGTAGTAGTAGTAGTAGTAGTAAGTAGTAGTCGTAGTCGTAGTAGTAGTAGTAGTATAGTAGTAGTAGTAGTAGTAGTAGTAGTAGTAGTAGTAGTAAGTAGTAGTAGTAGTAGTAGTCGTTTAGTAGTAGTAGTAGTAGTAGTAGTAGTAGTAGTAGTAGTAGTAGTCAGTAGTAGTAGTAGTCAGTAGTAGTAGTAGTAGTAGTAGTAGTAGTAGTAGTAGTAGTAGTAGTAGTAGTAGTAGTAGTAGTAGTAGTAGTAGTAGTGGTAGTAGTAGTAGTAGTAGTAGTAGTAGTAGTAGTAGTAGTAGTAGTAGTAGTAGTAGTAGTAGTAGTAGTAGTAGTAGTAGTAGTAGTAGTAGTAGTAGTAGTAGTAGTAGTAGTAGTAGTAGTAGTAGTAGTAGTAGTAGTAGTAGTAGTAGTCGGTAGCAGTAGCAGCAGTGGTACAGCACTTTGATACTGGATGGGATCGTATTGTAGGTCCTCTAGCACTTTAGTATTGAAAACGCTATAGTATTGTAGGTACTCCTAGTACTGTAGTGCTGATAGTTCTCGGGGTGGTGGCTGGTGTAGCGGTATTGTAAAACTTTACTACTCAAGTACAGCAATCGTGCCCTTATTCTGTAGCTCTGTAGTAGTAAAGCTGCAGTAGTAGCGCACGATTGCTGTAGTCGTTGTACTATTATCATAGTACTGCAGCCGTACCAGAATGCTCTAATCCAGTAGTAGTAATAATAGTAGTAGTAGTAGTAGTAGTCGTAGTAGTAGTAGTAGTAGTCGTAGTAGTAGTAGTAGTAGTAGTAGTAGTAGTAGTAGTAGTAGTAGTAGTAGTAATAGTAGTAGTAGTAGTAGTAATAGTAGTAGTAATAGTAGTGTTAATACTGACGGCTGTAGAAGTAATGCAATAAAACTCTAGTACTGTAGTATTCTAGGTTTGTAGTAGCACGCTGGTACTGTCGCAATGTAGTAACACTGTAGTAGTAGTCGTACTCTAGCAAGGCAGTAGTAGTACGGTTGTCGTACTGTGGTAGTAATGATACTCTCGCTGGGCAAGTGACAACTGACAAATCGCGCGCAGGCAGACCCCCCACTTGGGAGAAATGACGGGCGGCCCGATCGAAATTGAACCCCCTGGAACGATGAATAACGGCAAAAACGTTCCACCACTAACCGCCCCCCCGTCAACGACTGAACCGGTTTGAAAGCACTTACTGGGTCAACCTCTCATAACCGGGGGTGATCTAATACCATGCGGCCCATTCGCGCCGTCGGCCGCGTAAATACGCATGTCGAAATCTTTTCCGAAACCTTCGTCGCCGGCACGTGGACAACATCACTGGCGTCGGTTTCATCAGCATCGGCGCCGTCATTGGCTTTGTCGTCATCATCGTCACCAGCACCATTCCTATCATCATCGTGTCTGCCTCTGTCGACGTCGCCATGATACCCCGCCCACCCTAGTCACCGACTCGCCCTGAAGAGCCCGCGCGCCAGCGCGGCCTGCAAGACGCGCCGGGAAGTCCCCAGCGGTCAGCGCCACCACGGCCGCGTCGGTCGCGCCAGACTAGCTGGCCGCTGTGCGCGCGAGCATGCGCGCGCCAGTGCGGCCGCAAAGACGCGCCAGCCAGCGCCAAGCAGGCATCGCAAGCGCCGCTGCATGGGTTCTGTAAACCAAATTGCGGGTAGGTGGGTGGCATGTTTTCACGACCGTAGGAAGTTGCCGACTTCGTGGAATTGACAACCCATTGGTAACGGGTGAACTGTACCACATAGATTGCTCCCCTAGCTTGCACAACATATACTGATAGAAACACATTGTTTGGTGTCAGCGCTGGCTGATATTATATCAGAGTTTCCCAAAGTAGGGCTTACACTACGCATTGTTCCGCAAATCATTAACTTCAAAGGAAGCCCAACGCTTTTTTTGTGATGGGGGTGTGTTGGAGGGAGGAGGTGCGCATGCATCTCAAGCCAAAGCAAACAACACCGAGCTGTGTCAAGCTTCGCTATGGTAGCCCATGCTGCGCTACGCCACGCCGAATTCAGCGAAATCCAGCTCAGCCGAGCGGAAGTAGGTTCAATCAGGGGTAGGCTGGACTGGGCTAAGCGACGCGAGTGTGAGCTAGACTATGATGTGCTGAGCTAGCGCTGAAATAGGCGAGGGTAAGCTGCCTCGGAAGCCCGACTGCCCTGCCCCCTCTTGGTTTGATCCGTGTCCCCCCGGTTTGTTTCACAACCATTTCTGCTACCCCGTAATACACTCTGGACCACGGCAGCCCGCCTGGCAACCGTTTCAGGGCAGGCTGGTGGGGACACACGAACCGTCAGCAACTGAAGGGGGGCCCGGCTGGCTGGGGCACCGTGGAACCTGCTGCGACAGAGTGCGAGCAAGAGCAGGATAAGGCTGGAGCTCAGGCGGCACGCACACATGACACATGATACACACGTGGGCGACGAAAACAAACAGGTCTTACGCGACATGGCCTAGCGACCTTACGCCGCAGCTGACGCGGGCCGCCAGCGCGGCACGCTGCATGGGAGACGAGGGCGTTTACGCGCGACCTTACGCGGGCAGCTTACGCGCCCATGTCGGCGAAGACGGCCCCGTGCTCTTGCGTCGCTGAATTTGCGAACACGCACGCGTACAGACGCACAAAAACACCCACACACTTTTGCGCCAGCGGCTGGGCAGAGGGACTGCGCTGGCGAGTAAAGCGAAACGGGGCAACGTCGGGCGAATTCAGCCACCATGCAGGAGGGAAGGGAAAGGACTACAAGGGGCGCCAGCCGGGGGAGGGGACCAACGCACACACACACAGACGTACACAAACACCCACACACACACCCACACACACACACTTTCTTCTCCCTCCCGCGGCCGAGCCACGTCACGGCAGCGGGAGCTGAGGCGGCGCACGCGCGGCGCCGGCTGCACCCGACACTGCAGCTGGGCGGACTGCGCGGGGCGAGCCGCGCGCAGAAGAAGGTCGCGTGCAGACGAAGGTCGCGTGCGGAGGGGCGGACTGCGCAGGGCGAGTCGAGCGCAGGGCGAGTCGCGTGCAGAGGGGTGGACTGCGCAGGGCGAGTCGGGTGCAGAAGGAGGGGGAGTGGCTGCAGAAGGCGAGCACGCGAGAAGCAAAACGGGCGTGCATCGTGGAAGGTAATGCCCGGCCAGCCAGGGAAGGGAGAGTGCCCGAACTGTAGCAGGCAGGTGCAAGGGCCGAGACGTGCGCCCGCAGGCGGTATACATACACACATACACACGCGCGCGAACACACACACACACACACACACACACACACACACACACACACACACACACACACACACGGCAAGTGCGCGCAGCAACGCGCCGTAGAAGTACGATGACACAAGACTGAAGCAGCGGTGCAAGCAATCCAGCAGCCGCATGTTTCAGAGCAAGACAAACGGGCAAGCGACAAAGCGCTTTTTTCTTCTTTTCCACGAACACACCACTGTACTGGTACCCGACAACATGCACTAGGCAAGCTTGGAATCCCCTGAAGGCCAATCTGCAATAGGCGAGCCGCCACGCGAGACCATGGCCAGTGCAAGTAAACTAAAATGGGCGCAACCGCGGCTACGTAGCAAGGCTTTCCCGCTCCTGCGGCCGAGACACGGAAGCCAGATTCCGTGCCTAAACGCCGTGAGTCGCAAGGCAAACTCACACGTCCCAGAGGACAAAAACCGGGAGCCATAATTACATCATGCGAAACACACACACACACACGCACACACACACACACACGCACACACACACACACACACACACGCACACACACCACACACACAAACACACACGCACACACACATTCACGCACTGGCGGACGCACGCATACGCACACACATTCTCACATGAAGCAAGTAGGTAGACACTACGCAGAGTCTGGATCCACAACGTGCAAACGAGGCCTGCCCGCCGCCCAGACCCCGCCTCGCATCCAATCGGGGCTCGTGGGAAGTACGTGTAGCAAGTCAGGCGCCACATCGACCTGAATAATTGCGCTCAACGCGGCGCAAGGGAACCATTTCAGATCAGGTGCGTGGCCAGCGCAACCTCACCACAACGGCTCGAAGAATCTAGAATCTCGTGTCAAGCAGGAAGCGGGTATCTGTTTACCCGGCGGGGGGGCAACCTAATCCAGCCCCTCCCAACCGAATTTCGGAGCCCCCGAACCTCTTCTACGCCCATGCAGAGCGTCCCCTCGGCCTTCTGAGCCTCTGGGACGCCCCTGCAAGAGCCACACATCGGGCCAAAAGCAGTGAGGAGGGCGGCCAAACGGCTCCGCGAGAGCCCCGAGCGGCCCGATACACTCCACAAGTGCCAGAAAACGGGCCAAACAGGGTCCTCAAGAGGTCCTCCAAATGCAAGCAACGTTAATTTTCCTACTCGGTTCTTCCGTCTGCCGGGCTCCCCTGACTGTCCGAGAGGCCACGAAAATCGCATCAAAACGACCCCAAAGAGCATGCCGTAAGTCCGAGGGGGCCCAAGACGACCCAAAACGGCCCTAAGAAAGCCACAAGACGGTCCAAAATGGCCCCAAGACGCCCTCCAAAAGTCTCCACGTCGGGACCCGGTCGTTGAGGAAAACCGTGGCTGGCAACAAGGTGGCCCCAAGAAGCCCCCAGAGGTTCCTGAAAGGCTCCCAGGAGGCCTCCAAAGGCCCTCTAAGAAGTCCCACAAGAGGCGTTTGAAAGGTATTCTAAAGCCCAGGGAACATCTTGACTAGGAGAGTTTTTGGGGAAAGGAGTGGGCACGTCGCCATGATCATCATTTTGATTATCATCTCGATCATCCGATTGGTAATCGTCATCTTGATCACCATCTGCGTCATCCATGTGATCACCATCGCCACGCTGATCCTCTGAGCCGTCATCGACCCGACCGTCGTCATGACCAGTGTCGTATTCAATATCGTCCTGGCCGTCATGATCACGGCCGCAAGCAAGCAGCAGCTTAGAATTCAAGGAACTTCTCCCCCCCCGACTACAGCATGTACCTCCCGAGCCTACACGAGGCCCAGAGACTGCACCGAATACTCGCGAGATCCTCAAGAAAGACCCACACGCCCCTCAAAGGAGCCTGTTATACTCCATGACTTTTCTGGAAGAACCACGTGCAACGAAAATAATCGCATTCCAACTTGCTGGATGCGAATTATGTATACCCTAAGCGAAAACTTGAACTTCCGTTCTTGGGAGTTTGGACCATTCGCGCCCCCCCTCCCCACTCCAGTAGAATCTTCGTCGTGCGCATTTAACTCGCCCTCTGACGATCGACCATCCTTCATGATAAGCAGACGCGCCTCGCAAGCGCTGCATGCTTCCAACCACTGGAGCGAAACATGCCCTGCTGTGCTGCGGTCGTGTGCGTTGTGCTTGCAGCAGCTGGACCTTGCCTGTGACCAATGTATGCCCACCCCTCGTTCTCTCCTGTTCGGGCGCCCGAGTTATCCGGGGTAACTCGGGTCCGGGGTAACTCGGGTTTGGCTTCCCCAACAACGAACCCGAGTTAGCCCTGACCCGAATTACCCCTGATGGTTTTGGGCTCTGGACGCCCGAATTATCTGGGGTAACTTGGGCCCGGGGTAACTCGGGTTCGGAATCCCAAAAAACGAAGCCGAGTTAGCCCTGATGATTCGGGGCTCTGACATGTCAGCATCCCTCTTCTCCTCCTCCTCTGTGAAATCCACTCTTTGCTGCAAGGGAACACATCGGCTGGACGACCTGATGCAGTCATCGTCCGAGAGGTCTGGCCTCTGCGCGCGGCTTCGCTGCAGCGCGCGGCGGTGAGCCAGAGCAGGGCTTCTCTGCAAAGGGCTGCAGCAGCAATCGCAGATACAGCGGTGGATGCAACGGGCAAGAGACGAAGAGAGAGAGAGAGAGAAAAAACAATGAGGGTACATTTGTCGATATATCTCTATATATCTATACGCACATACGTACCCATTCATATGTATATATGTGTATACATACACATACAAAATTGTATACGTGTGAGTATGTATATCGCATATAACGAAAACGAGGGAGGCATGGGGAATAGAGAGAGAGAGAAACAACAAACCAAAATAAAGCGCTGGGAGGTAAACTAGGTAGGGGAGGAAACAAAGAGACAAGCATGGCGAGGGGCAAATGATTGGAGGTCGACCGACACAGATTATTGATTGACACGGATGAGGGGGCGGCCGATAAGGGAACTGGCAGGGATGATACGAGCTCATACTTAGGGCGGAAGATCATCCAGAACAATTGTGAAAACAAATGCGCAAGGGGAGGCGCTAGCCGCGGCCTCCAAGGGGGTTTCTTCTCTGGAAATGAGAATCGACGCGCTGCAACGTGTGTGGTGCAAGCCATGCGTGCATCCAGAAATGCCAGCCAGCGCCCGGTGCGGCCACAAGCGCCCGCCATACGAAACTCTGGAAATGGAAACGCCAGCCAGCACGCGGGGGGATATGGGGAGGGAGGAGGATGGGGGGAGGGGGGAGGAGTGATCCGCCTCTGGTAGCCACCTGCATCCAGCCCATCTCTCTCTCTCTCTATCCCCCTCTCTCTCTCTCTCCCTCTGTCCCCCTCTCTGTCTCTTTCCTCTGTTGTTTGGTTTTTTTTTGCTTTCCAAGGCCGACCGCCCCCCCCCCCCCTCGACGCCCCTCGAAAATCGCTCCCCCTCTCCGGAGATGATGTTGTGCCACTTTCCAGATTCAGGTTCAACATTCTAAAAATGAGGGGCCAAAGCCAGGCCGTCCCGAGCGGGGTCAAAACACGCCCCCCGAACGGGGCCAAGAGGCCCCCCGGGGCCCCCAAGAGGCCTCCAAGAGGCCTCCGAGAGGCCCCCAGGAGGCCGCCAAGAGGACCCCAAGAGGCACCCTCTACGCCCCAGGAGGCTGAAGACCGCCAAGAAGCACCCGAGACGTCACAATAGGCCTCCAAGAGGCCCACAGGCGCCGCAAGAGGCCCCCAAGAGCCGCCATGAGGCCGCCAAGACTCCCCCAAAGGCTCCTAAGAGACCTCCCAAGAGACTCCGAGAGGCATACAAGTGGGTTCTGGCACACGGATGCTCCCCGAGCTCTCTAAATGATGCCACGGTCTCCCGATAAGGGTAGCTCCCCTGGGCAATGTCCCTGGATAGGCAGGCGGGGATACGCGAAATTCTAAGATGTCAAATTCATGTTTGTTACGCTGTTACACAAGCACGGTGGCGGCGTTTGCCGCAGGCAGCCGGATGTATGCTTGTGTACATCTATATATATATATACATACATACCAATACATATGCACGCACGTCATATACATGTACACACTTACGTATACCACTCACACTATCTCTCTCTCTCTCTCTCTCTATTTCTCGTTATTTCTCCCACCTCCTTTCTCTAACTGCACTCCTCGCCTGTTCATTCGCTCGCGCTTTCGCTCACTCTTGCCGCCATGTCCTCCTCTGGACGTGGGAGAGCCGACGGGAAGGATGGAAAGGATGGACATGTGAACGAGGGGAGGGAGGAATGAGGAGATGGAGAGGAGGGAGGGGAATCAGAGAAAAACAAACGACAAAGAAGGGAACGAAAGGAGGCCGAACCTCTGGTAGTCCCAAGGCTCCAAGCCCAGGCCCGCAAGGTGGTAAAAGTACATGCTGGCAGCTGCGCTGTCCTCGCGAGAAAGGGGATGAGGGATGAGGAGCGGGAGGATGAAGATGAGGTGGCAAGCGAGAAGAAGAATGCCCGTCAGAATTCCCACAATCTCGCCGCCGTGCGCCCGGAAAGGCATGGTACTGGCATGGCCATGCTGGGGCAACTCATTCAGACATGCCAGGAACACATTCTGCTAATGCTGATGTGGCATGTGCTTGCGTGTGCGTGCGTGGGCGTTCCCACTCTCCGACAGGCTGGTGGGGCACCCTGGAAGTGCCCCCCAATGAGGCCCCCCATTTTCAGCGGTGTTCCAGCGGCACCATGTGCGTGAGTTCGGCGCCAGTAGCGTCACTGCACGTTCGCACTTCACTGTGCACTTTGGCGCATCATCTCCCTTTGTTCATGCCTCGTCCGTCCCCCGACTTGCAACGCGTATGGGCTGGTGAATCTTTTGGGTGAGCAAAACTTCATAATTTCTTTCGCGCCAAAGGGGCTGGGAGCTGAAGGAAACCGTCTGCCCCGCCAGATGAAACGCAACGGTCTGCGACGAAAAAACATGCACGTACGCGCGTGTGCGCGCATGTGTTTGTGTGTGTGTGTGCGTGTGTGTGAAGGTGCGCGCGTTCGTGTGTGATGTTATGTGCGTGCGAGCGCGAGAGCCCGCCATCTGGCTCGCGGCTCTGCGGATCAGGCGTCTGGAACAATGGTATCAACGAAAATCTGGAATGCGCATCTGTGTGTGTGTGCGCAGAGATGCGCAGAGTCTTGAACAACTACCAGAACAACTGGTCAGGTCACACATGTTTCAGTTCGCCATTTGCGTCTTCAATTACCTTGTGGGGCATCCACTGTCTCGGACGGCAGCACCCACAGCACTGCGTGCGCCAGTTCGGAGCAAACACGCTTCCGGTGCCCTCCAGTACAGCTGATCGTCCTCCACTGCCCATGTTGGCGCCCGAGCGCACACTTCCCATCAGGGACCGTTTGGTTGTTCACACTAGGGTGGCATTCAGATCAAGAAAGCGTGACCTTGTTGCTCTTCTGAGCAGGCCCGCTGAGCTGGGTCTGCTCGTTCGCACCGCTGGTGACTCGGCTCCTGCGAAGGCGAGTGCACCTGGGACGTACGTTTGTGTGTGAGCGCGTTCCTCGTGCCACGCCTGCCGAAGGCGACTAATCTTTGCATTGGCGCGCCACCCAGAGGCCCGGGTGTGACCAGACGCCGTCCTGCCCGAAGGCGTTAGCCCACCTGGATCATTTTGGCACGCCCCGAGGAAGGTGCTGACGCCCTGCTTGACGCCTGCCCCCAGCACAGTCCGGCGTGGGCGCCCCCGCGCCGCGCGGTTCTCCCACGCTTGCCTCAGGCCTGTCGAAATGTCGCGCCCCGTGGGCCTTGCCCCGTGCTGTGTCCTGGCTGCTTCGCCTGGCCCAGGCACCGCACCTGCTCACCAAATGCGCGGAAAATGCGGTCGGGCTGCTGAAAGAAGGAACGCCACAGAAGGAACGGAGCCCCTCTAGGGTCCCACAAGCGCCTGCGAGGACGAAGAAGGCTCGAGAAACGGCCATGGAAGGAACTAAGGAACATCGAGCCCCTTCCGAACCCAAAGTGTTCCTTATTTCAGCGTCTGGGCTGTATTGCACGGTTTCCCCTGGGGCCGTAGGCGACCCGAGGAAGAGGGGGAGGAGGAGGAGGAGGAGGAGGAGGAGGAGGAGGAGGAGGAGGAGGAGGAGGAGGGAGGAGAGGAGGAGGAGGAGGAGGAGGAGGAGGAGGAGGAGGAGGAGGAGGGAGGAGGAGGAGGAGGAGGAGGAGGAGGGAGGAGGGAGGAGGAGGAGGAGGAGGGAGGAGGAGGAGGAGGAGGAGTCGCCTAAGCCCTTCGGAGAAACCCTCCCAGGCTGCATTGGCTTCTCCACCTGGCCAGTGGCCGGTGGGCGGCCCTGGCCCTGCGCCTCCTGCCCCTCGGCCCTGCGGCGGTGGTGATCCTCCGTCTCCTCCTCCTGGCTGCTGCATGCCCTGCGTCAGCCCTGGTGCTTGCCCGGCGTCGGCCCGGTGCTGTGCTTGCCCAGCGTCGGCCCGGTGCCGTGCTGTGCTTGACGTGTCGCTGCTTGCCCGGCGTCGGCCCCGGTGCTGTGATCGGCGTCGGTCCGGTGCTGTGCTTGCCCGCCAGGTGCTGTGCTGTACTTGACGTGCCGCTGCTTGCCCGGCGTCGGCCCCGGTGCTGTGATCGGCCCAGGTCGTCGGTCTCCCTCCTCGTGGGCCCAGCTCGAGCCGGGCCGGCCCCCCTGGTGCTCCTTCTCTGGTGGTGCCGCCTAGGCCTGCACGGCATCGCGCCTCCACCTGGGAGCGGAACTCCCCGGGCCACTTGGCGGCACCCTGTCTGTTTTCTCGGACGCCCGCAGCGGGCACGGAGAAAACGGGCACGCTTCCCAACAGCAGAGATGTGGCACAAAACCGACAGCGGCCTCTGTTGGGCGGGCGGCCGTCTGTCGCACATGAACAACGTCCGCGGCGACAGCGACAGCGAGACCTATTCAAAATGGGGAGGAACCGCTGTGGGTCTTCGTGCACGTTCGTTCCGCACCCGCTTCGATGGCAGTGACCGATCTCTGGTGGACCTGACCTCTCGCTGCCTCCCGCTCGGCAGCCCTCCTGGGCCCAGCGCCTCGCTGCGGGCCGCTGCCGGTGCTTCTCCCTTTTGGCCCCCTCGGGGCCGCTTGCCCCCAGGTTGGACGGCGCCGTCTCCTGGCCCCCGGGTGCAGCTCCCCGTGCAGCCCCGCCGCCGGGTCCATCATCATCATCATCATCATCATCATCATCATCATCATCATCATCATCATCATCATCATCATCATCATCATCATCATCATCATCATCATCATCGTCATCATCATCATCATCAACAACGTCATCATCAACAGCAACGCCATCGCACCCAAGTTGCAGCCCCGCTGGCCGAAGGCCTCTCGTTCCGTTCGGCGCCCCTGCCGGCCGACTCTGCGGCGGCGGCGTGGTGCCTCTTCCGCGCGCCGCGGCACCGGTGCCGCGGCGCCCTGGCCCCTGGCAGTTGGGGGATGCGCCATGCAGGGTGCCATCGCTCGGACGTCCATGTGAACGGAGGTTACGAACCGAAGGGTCGAACCTACCGTCGAATCCGTCGGTAGAGGATTGGGGCGAGAGGGTGAAAGCGCCCTCTTTCCCTCTCGCGGCCCGTTAGCATTCGGGCTCGCTGTCCAATACCTGAGCCGAGAGGATTGCAGGATAGATGGGTAGAAGGGGGAGATAAGCGGTCTTCACACACAGTCCATCCCCTGTGCATTGCTCGGCTTCGTGAGCTCTTTGTTCGCAGGATGATCCAGTAAGCTCTCAGATGGTTCAGTTTTGCTGGCGCTGGCCTCGCCGAGCCAGCCATGCACACGTCCGAGCGATGCCGAGGGGTGCCTCTCCTCCCCTTCCTGCCCGCTTAGCCATCGGCTGCTTTCCATGCGACCTTCTAGGCGGGCGTCGTTGTCGCGCCTCCGCTGTGGGCGGCGATGTTGCTGCAGTGTGGGTCTCGCGGCCTCTGGCTCTATCAGCCTTCTGGGCACCTCTCTTGGTGGCATCGCAACTTTCCTCCCTGCGCTCGCGGCCGCGGCTCGCGTGCCGCGTCTCACGCCTGCCCTCGCATGGCCCCCGTGTAAGGTCGCTCTTGCTTGGATGGGACTCCAGACCTGGCCTTTCAGCGCGCGCGTGGTTTCCACGGGCGGCGTCTCTCTTGCGTCACTCTCCCATGGCTGCCTGCCCGCAGTCATTACTGAGGCTTGTCCAGAGCCAGGATGGCGGAGCTCGCAGTGATGAAAGAACAGCACGCGCTCAAACCTACAGGGAGGAGGAAGGGGGAAGGGCAAGGAGATGAGGGCGCTATAGGTATGGGCGCAGGTTGTCGGACCCCGAGGCGGGGATCCCGTTCGAGCGGGGACCCCCATCCGATAACGCACACCCGTTGCCTCCCCGAAATTCCACCCCGAGAAATCGAGGGGCCGCATAGGAGCGCGTTTCTTTATTCTCGGCGATAATGGGCATTACGAGGGAGGGGGGGGAGGGGGTCGGGGGGGATATACCCCCCGCCGTGCGGCTCCGGAACCGCAGCCGCGCCCGCGCGCACGACGACGATGAAACCCATGGCTTCTTTCTAATCCGCAGCGAGGGCGGTCGCAGGCGCGGGGGCTGTACCGCTGGGGCGCGCCTGGCGCGGGGCGTGAAGGC